CACCGACGCTTCCTTTAGTTGGGAATTGTTAGCTGGAAATGTGGGAACGTGTTTGTTGTTGTGAGTTTGGGTTCTAACGTTACAGGGATCTGAGTTTCTCAGCTGATCCTGGTCCCGGACGAAACGATGGACTAACCTGAGGAACACCAGAACAACAGAATGTGAAGCTGCGGCTCACCTTTAAACTGCGCACACTAATCATCTCTTAATCATCCTGAACATCTTTTGCATTTTAATTAGTAGTGTTATCTACATGTATATTTCTATATTTATGTTCACGTGTTCTCTACAGGCAAACTGCTCGAATGTGAAAATGAATATTTCAATAAACCCGTTCCCTCCAGGAGGCCTTGGACTGTAAATAAGAATCTGCTGTTGGTAAAATACAGGTTTCATTTCCATTATAATAATAAAAGATGTTGAATAAGAAACAGGTGAGCGAGCGGCTGGCTCACCTGAAGGCTTCGGGGTGGATGGGAGACTCCAGGATGAGGACGATGACCAGGAGAGGAAGAAGCACGAAGCCGCCCAGAGTCAGCAGAGTCACCTGGAACACCTTCCCGCTGTAGGTTCTGCAGGAGGAACCAACCGCAGGGGACACGGTCAAGACCTGCAGCCGTTCTCAGGGTTCTACCCTCGGCCCTCTCATCTTTCACTATTCACAGTCTAAGCCCCGCCCCTCCCGCCCCATGTGGCCATATTTCAGAAAAAGCATGGAGTACAGAGCGCCTAAGCCCCGCCCCTTCCAGTGGACCACCATGGGCCTTACTTTGGACAAAATATGTACGGTAATCAACGGCAAGAGACAACTAATGTTTAGATCCCGTTTGAATCACACACACAATGTTTGTTAATTTAAAACATTTCAAAGTCAAGAAAGTCGCAGTTTGATGTAAAACTGTTGAAGAGTAAGACTGAAAATACAGAAATACAAAGAGCACAAACCCAAAAGTCCCGTATGTGACGTCGTAACTGTTTCTGTCAATGACTGAAGCTAAAGTCACTGAAGCTAATCAAGCTAACGTTACTGAGGCTAATGTCACAGAAGCTAACGTTACTGAAGCTAATGAAGCTAACGTTACTGAAGCTAATGAAGCTAATGTTACTGAAAGTACTGAAGCTACTGAAGCTGACGTTACTGAAGCTAATGTTACTGAAAGTACTGAAGCTACTGAAGCTAACGTTACTGAAAGTACTGAAGCTACTGAAGCTAACGTTACTGAAGCTAATGTTACTGAAAGTACTGAAGCTACTGAAGCTAACGTTACTGAAGCTAATGTTACTGAAAGTACTGAAGCTACTGAAGCTAACGTTACTGAAGCTAATGTTACTGAAAGTACTGAAGCTACTGAAGCTAACGTTACTGAAGCTAATGTTACTGAAAGTACTGAAGCTGACGTTACTGAAGCTAATGTTACTGAAAGTACTGAAGCTACTGAAGCTAACGTTACTGAAGCTAATGTTACTGAAAGTACTGAAGCTTACGTTACTGAAACTACTGAAGCTAATGTTACTGAAGCTAATGTTACTGAAAGTACTGAAGCTGACGTTACTGAAGCTAATGAAGCTAACGTTACTGAAGCAAATGTCACTGAAGCTAATGTTACTGAAAGTACTGAAGCTACTGAAGCTAACGTTACTGAAGCTAATGTTACTGAAAGTACTGAAGCTGACGTTACTGAAGCTAATGAAGCTAACGTTACTGAAGCTAATGTCACAGAAGCTAATGTTACTGAAGCTATTGAAGCTAACGTTACTGAAAGTACTGAAGCTAATGTTACTGAAAGTACTGAAAGTACTGAAGCTGACGTTACTGAAGCAAATGTCACTGAAGCTAATGTTACTGAAAGTACTGAAGCTAATGTTACTGAAAGTACTGAAGCTAATGTTACTGAAAGTACTGAAGCTACTGAAGCTAACGTTACTGAAAGTACTGAAGCTACTGAAGCTAGCGTTACTGAAGCTAATGTCACTGAAAGTACTGAAGCTGACGTTACTGAAGCTAATGTTACTGAAAGTACTGAAGCTACTGAAGCTAACGTTACTGAAGCTAATGTCACTGAAAGTACTGAAGCTGACGTTACTGAAGCAAATGTCACTGAAGCTAATGTTACTGAAAGTACTGAAGCTAATGTCACTGAAGCTAATGTTACTGAAAGTACTGAAGCTGACGTTACTGAAGCTAGGCTGTTTCTCAATCACGAGTTCACCAAGTTCGGCTCGGTAGCACAAACTCCCAGGAACGGGAGCACGCAGTCCGTCATTCAGCAATTGGAACAGCAGTGGACTCGATGACGGCCGGACCTGTTAGCGGGCGGGACCTCACATCTCCGAGAACGTCGTATCAATTTTTCAAATCCGTCTTGAGAAATCGTTACTGAAGCTACTGAAGCTAACTTCACTGAAGCTAACGTTACTCAAGCTACTGAAGCTAACTTCACTGAAGCTAACGTTACTCAAGCTACTGAAGCTAACTTCACTGAAGCTAAAGTTACTGAAGCCAACATCAAAGAAGTGACATGTGAGGATGATGTGATAAAAGGACCGACAGTCGTTGGATTAAACTCATCAGGTGAAATATATTTCTGCGTGGAACATAGCTACGTTATCTAGCTAGTAGCAAGAAAGCAATGAACGTTAGCTTAGCATTACCGCGCTAACATGTTGGTGAAGTATATTGTGCAAGATGAGAGATGTAGTTCAAAACTACATGTAACTACTGTTTTACAACAAACTACAACTTTCTTGACAGACAAAATTATTTTTTAAACTGACAAACATCATGTGTGATTCAGAGCTCAGTTCAAACAGGATCAAAAATAAATAGTCTGTCGCTGTTGACTACCGTACATATTTCTTCTGAAAAAAGGTCCCATGGGCAGGAAGTGGAAGCGACTTAGGCTCTGTATGTGGTCAGGACCCACCAACCTGAGTTTTGTCCCCCCTAAACTATAATTAAAAACACGCAGTGTATTGTAAATAATATAATGATATATATCTGTGGATAAGACACATGTCTTTGGTGTGAGAGACCTGGGTTCGAATCCACTGTGAGACACCACTGTGTCCCTGAGCAGGACACTTAACCCCTCGTTGCTCCAGAGGCGTGCGACCACTGACATGTACCACAGCTGCAAGTCACTTTAGATAAAAAGCGTCAGCTAAATGAATAAATGCGTAAGTGTAAAAACACATGTGCTTTAAGTTCAGAAACATGTTGACTCCGCCCTCCTCACAGTGGTTTGGTCCACTTTTATTGTTCCCCCTTATGTCTATGGCCCCCCCAACGGTTTTTGTTATTTACGGCCATGGCAGTGATATAATAATGATTATTAACGATCAGGTTTACAATCAAGTGTTTCTTTCTGTCACGGTCAGATCAATAATACATTCATTTACACTTTAATAAATGATCTCACGTGAATAACATGAAATGAAAACATGTGACTGCAGCTACTGAGCTCTGCTAAGCTACCTTTATGCTAAGCTAGCAGCTGTTTTTCCTGGCTAACACTAGCGCTAGTTTAAGCTAAGCTAGCCCTCTTACTTCCTCCAGATGAATTATTGATACATCAGCTGTCAATCACTCCACTGATTAATGACGTCAGCAGATCGATACCCTGACCCCCCTTCAGCTGATGTACCTCCTGATCAGGCAGCTGCTGCCTCAGCTCAGGTGTTTGTGCTGTGCCGGTCCAGGTTCCGAGTCTTACCCGGATCCCTTGTATCGGTTCTCCGGCAGCTCGTCCGTGATGACCTGCGGTCTGTGGACCCGCCGGAACCGGAGCCCCTCCGTCTCATTCATGCTGGACTCGGACGCTGAACGCGGATCGGATCGGATCAGTTGTTGGTCCGGAGCTGGAACGGCTCGCTGTGGTGGTTTGACCCGGGTTACAGGGGGAGTGAACCGGGACGGAAGAGCCACAGCCTACTGACGACGGCTTCCGGTCTGACACTTCACAATAAAACACCACCGCCTCGTCATCCGTTTCGGATTTTCAAAGTAAAAAAAACTAAACAGCTTGAAGAGAAAACTTAAAAATATCCAATATACACATATAAAAATACTAAGGAAAATCTAAAAGTACAAAACCAGTAACATTTAATAAGCAATTACTAAAATTATAGAAAGCAAAACAAACAAATTCTTAAACTAATATAGAAACATAATAAATACAAAAATAAATATTCCATCAGAAGGAAGCAAATATTAAAAATATGACTTACAGAGGTCACACACATTCACAGATCTGCTTCATTTTAAACATTAAATCCTTTTGTATGTGTGTTAAAGGTTCAGGGAGGAAGAAGTGCTGTACACATGATTTATTCATCATTTACTTTCCATGCTGGATATGAACTCATGTACGTTTTCTTTTTGGGGTAAATATATGAAACAAACTGTAGCAGTGTGTTATTAAAGGACAAGATTATGATTATTAATGAGCAGTGGAGAACGGGCAGGATGAAATTACTTTTCAGACATGTTCATTTATTTTTTACCGTTTTCATTCACTCATTCATCTACTCATTAGGTGCTGCAGCTGTTTATTTTCCTGTAAGAAAAGAAAAAACACAACAAACAATGAATTTATTTCTTTCTGTTTTTACAGACTTCTGATCAGTTAGTTGACTGGAGGAATGAACCGGGACAGGAAGTCCCCGCTGCCTCTCACAAGATTTAAACTCCTACAAAATAAAAGTTCAGATAACTTAAAGTTTGTCTCAAAGGAAACGTTTCCAGGACGATGTGGACCGAAGGAACTCCGCTGCTTCCCCGCTGACTGACTCAAACAGAGCCCGGCTAATAAATACAGTCAGGTCTGTCCGGGGGCCAGTTGAAGTTCTGGTCCGACCCACCAGAGGACCCACAGCTCGGAGGGTTTCCTCCCTCTTCTTCTGCCGGACCTTCAGAACCGGCTGACTTTTGATTAAATCATTAACTCGTTCAAACCAAACCAACCTAACACGAGAACTGTTCTCAGAACCCGGACCCGGACTCACGTCAGCTCTGATCCGCGTGGGACACCTTGTCCCGCGCGTCCTGTTCCCGGCGTGCCGGCGGAGGCGCACCTGTGCTGGCGCAGGCTGCGGGTGGAGGAGAAGCGACGGCTGCAGGCGGAGCAGCTGAAGGCCTTGTGTCCCGTGTGCACCAGCAGGTGAGTCTTCAGGTTGCTGTTCTGGCTGAACTTCCTCCCGCAGACGCCGCACTCAAACGGCTTCTCTCCGCTGTGGACGCGTTTGTGTCTGACGAGGTTCTGCGACACGCTGAAGCTCTTCCCGCAGACCTCGCACACGTACGGCTTCTCGCCGCTGTGCGTGCGCTCGTGCAGCTTGGCGCTCGCCTGCGTGGAGAAGGTCTTCTGACACCGAGCGCAGCTGAAGGGCTTCCCCTCCGAGTGGCTGCGGCGGTGCATCTTCAGGTAGCTCTGCGAGCTGTAGCCGCGCCCGCACACGTCGCAGGAGAACGGCTTGCCGCCGGCGTGCAGCCGCAGGTGAGTCTTCAGGACCTGGGCGCTGGTGAAGCTCTTCCCGCACTCCTCGCAGGTGTGCGCCCTCTGCCCGCCGTGGGCCAGCCGGTGGCGCTTCAGCGACGCGGACGAGGAGAAGTTTTTTCCGCACTCGCTGCAGCCGTGCGGTTTGATGCCGGCGTGGCTGCGCTCGTGCACCTGCAGGGCGCTGCGCTGCCTGAAGCCCTTCCCGCAGGCGTTGCAGATGAACGCCCACTCGCCGCTGTGCACGGTGCGGTGCACCTTCAGGTGTGCGGCCTGCGTGAAGCCGCGGCCGCACACGTCGCAGCTGAACGCGCGGCGGCCCGAGTGGACGAGCCGGTGGCGGCGCAGGTTGGCCGACACGCTGAAGCTCTTCCCGCAGGTGTCGCAGCTGAACGCCTTCTCGCCGGTGTGGACGCGGCGGTGGACCGTCAGGCTGCTCCTGCTGGAGAAGCTGTTCCCGCACTGCTCGCAGGTGTGCGGCCGCTCGCCCGTGTGCGTCCTCAGGTGAGCTCTGAGGCCGCTCTGCTGGCTGAACGCCTTCCTGCAGACGCTGCAGGTGAACGGGCGCAGCCCTCGGTGGACGGTCAGCTGGTGGACGTGGACGCTGCGGCGCGTGGTGAAGCCTTTCTGACAGGTGGGGCATTTGAAGGGTTTGTCCTGCAGGTGGACCCTCTGGTGTGCGGACAGGTAGCTGCGTCTGCCGAACTCCTTCCCGCACTCCGCGCACCTGAACTTCTCCTCTCGTCTCCGGCAGGTCAGTCTGTGCTCTCGGAGGCAGCACCTCGCCGCCAGCGTCTCGCCGCAGGCCGAACACGCGTGCGTCCGGCCAGACGTCTGGTGCGTCCGGAGGTGGCTGCGGGTGCCGAACACCTTCCCGCAGTGAGCGCAGCTGCGCGGCCGCCGCTCGCCGTGCACGGTGAGCAGGCGGACTCTGACGCTGCCGCTCAGGTCGGTCCGTCCGGAGAAGCTGCTGCAGCTGAAGGTCGGGCTGCCGTCCGCCGGAGGAGTCCGCTCCGATTGGCCGGTTTCAGCTGTAGGAGCGTCTCCTTCAGGGGGGCGGAGTCCCGCTGCCGTCCTCTCAGCTGCTCCTCCAGCAGCCTCCTGAGCTCCTGCAGCAGAGCCTCACAGAGCGTCCTGAGTCCGGCCAGCAGCTGCTCCGGATCAGGCTGACAGAGGAGACACAGACGTAAATGAACCGCTGGCAGGAACAACGTTAAAATACTGCGGCGTCCGGCCGAGAGACGATAATAAGTTTCATCATTCTGGAAAGTTCTCAGGATCAGATGTTTATCAGCGCAGGTTAAACTTTCTGCTCAGAACAAACAGAGGATCAGTAAACTGATCTGAAGAAGGACCTTCAGGACCAGGTCTGTTTCATTCTCAGAGAAACATTAAGTGCTGATTCGTTCATGATTCAAATGAATTAAATCAAACATCATTCAGCAGTGAGGCAGAATAAGGCAGTGAGAAGGTGAAACTAGTTCTAAACTGTAGTCCTGCAGACCCCCCTCTGAGTCTCTCACAGGTCTGTAGTCCTGCAGACCCCCCTCTGAGTCTCTCACAGGTCTGTAGTCCTGCAGACCCCCCTCTGAGTCTCTCACAGGTCTGTAGTCCTGCAGAGTCTAAACATTAATAAATAAATAAAGGAGCAGCTGACCTCTGAGCCTCCTGCAGACCCCCCTCTGAGTCTCTGACGGGTCTCTGTCAGCACCTTGTCCTTGAACTCCTCCAACATGGCGGACACCAGCGGCTCCAGGCTGAGCGACATGTTTCCGAGTCCCGCAGAGCTGGAAGCTGGATCTGAACTTCTCACAGCTCCCGCTGTTGTTGTCGCCATGCGGCCATTGCTGCTGCTTTGCGACACATCCTGTTCACTGACGGCCGCTGTTACCACAGCAGCAGCGTGTCGGTCGCCCCCTGCTGTCCGGAAGTGCGAACTACAACAACAGAACGCTTCACAATAAAAGCACGCTGTTCATGATCAACAGAAGATGTTAAAGTTGAGATCAGAGGAAAGAAACGCTTCCTCTGATTAAAGCTCTGAGCCTAAAACTACAACCAAGCAAACGAATCCCTTTAACAGCCATTTATAATCCTCTAGACATTCCTGAGAGCACTTTTCAAATTTATTCATAAAGCACAACAAATACACACTGCAGAGACAGTTCTGCTGTGAAAAGGTGAAATAATGCAGAGATCTGGAGCAGAAAGAAGATTTAACCGACCTGTCAGAGACGCAGAGGAAATCAGCTGCTAAAATCATCAATACATTAAACTGAGTATTTAGTTCCTTTCACGACTTTGATGTTCCAAATCTACCTACAAACTGTCTGTGAAATTCATATTTTATATAAATAGATAGCAAAAAGCCGAACAAACTAAATAAACATTTGTAATCAACATATAAAAAAAAACAACTTTAACAATAAAATATGACAAAATAAAAAACATGAATAACAAACAAAAAGTAAATGTAAATAAATGCTTTTTAAAAGTGGCAGAAAATCTAACAAACAAATAAAACCCCTAAAGGCAGATTTATGATTTGTGATGTTGGCCTATAAAAATAACCTTTAGCATTTTAAAATAAATGTATTTAAATTCATCTCAATTCAGTTGATGTTCAGGTTTATTTCTAGATTTTATTTCTGAATACAAAACATAAAATAAAACATAAATATATATATAGTCCTCTCTGAATGTTCAAGAAGTCTTTTATTTTTGTACAACTGTTTTGACCTTTGTGTTGTTCGAAGCTTTATTAATATTAAAAACAGACAGACAGAGTTCAGGTTCAGTAGTGAGAGTTTATTTCTGCACGTTCAACACACAAGAATCATTAACTGTCAATAAATCAGCTGAAATCAGCTAAATAAATCTGATCTGAAGTCAGAAATCAGACCTGATCTAATTGATCTAAATCTCATTTAATTTAATTAAAACTGGAGTTTAGTCTCTAAAACTAAAACGTGATGAAACCTTTTTAAAAACTTGAAACACACAGAAGCGCTCGGCTGCCCTGTGAGGTCGTTCAGATCCAAGATGGCCGCTGCACAGGAACACCTGACAGGTGGAACATGATGTCACCTGAGGATCAATAAATGAGCTGCGTCACGTTCCTGAAAACAAACAACAAACCTGGATCTCACCGGTCTCCTCCACCAGGTGACTGCTGCAGCAGGTAAATGTGCTTGTGTCCGATTGGTCAGACTCATCAGGTGGGAGGAGCCCACAGAGGCCCCTCCTTCAGTGTTCGTGTGATAAACTTGAGCGCCGGAGGTGAAGTTCAAATGTTTTATGGTGTTTTTACATGAAGCCTGGTGGGGGACTCAGAGGAGCAGGGGATTGTGGGTAACTGCAGCGAGGTGGGAGGAGCTTCTGAGCACAGTGACCTGAGGAATGCCTGAGGGCCTGCTCGGCCCCGCCCACTTCCTGCCCGTGTGGCGGCGACAGCTCAGACAGGAAGTTCCTACTTCTTCTTCTTCTTCTCCTCGTCTCCTCGTCTCTGCTTCCTGTAGAGCTCATGGGCCGCGATGATCTCCTTGACCACGGACGGATCGTCCAGGGTCGACACATCGCCGAGGTCAGCCGTCGTCTCCATGGCAACCTTCCTAAGGATCCGCCTCATAATCTTCCCGGAGCGAGTCTTCGGCAGTCGCCTCACCACCTGAGAGCAGCAACAGGAAATACTTTTACTACTATTCAGTATGTCCAACGCAGCACGCCTAAAGTACCAGGATGTACTGCATGCACTCTGGCAGTTCTGACCCACAATCCTCTGCAGCATGAGGATGAGTTAGAGGGTAGCAGTATACATACTGCATTAGTACGCACTGAAAACAAACAGTATGTGATCTGGAACACAGCACCTGGCTCCTGATTGGCTGACTCGTGTCTTAATATCAGTTTTCAGAGTTAAAGGAAGAAGCACCTGGACACAAGCTGACCTCCTCTTTGTGTGTGTATATTTACATCCATACAATCTACAGTTTCACAACTTACATTAATGACTGTGTGATGTCTCACGCCTGGGCCGAGTTCAGCGCCGACAAATCCTAGCAAAACATTTATTTTAACATATACTGAACTAAATTATAAAGGCAAAACTTTTGTTTTTGCCCCCATTCATCATGAGCTGAACTCAAAGATCTAAGACTTTCTCTATGAACACAAAAGGCCCATTTCTCTCAAATATTGTTCACAAATCTGTGTTAGTGAGCACTTCTCCTTTGCCGAGATAATCTGTCCACCTCACAGCTGTGGCATATCAAGATGCTGATCAGACAGCATGGGGATTGCACAGGTGAGCCTTGGGCTGGCCACAATAAAAAGCCTTAGGCTGGTCACAATAAAAAGCCTTAGGCTGGTCACAATAAAAAGCCTTAGGCTGGCCACAATAAAAAGCCTTAGGCTGGCCACAATAAAAGGCCTTAGGCTGGCCACAATAAAAAGCCTTAGGCTGGTCACAATAAAAAGCCTTAGGCTGGTCACAATAAAAAGCCTTAGGCTGGCCACCGACGGGGAGTAAACATACCTCGAAGCCCGATGCACAGTGTTTCAAGGAAACATGTTGTTCAACCCGGAAACGTAGCAGTACTGGTAGTACTGGTGCAAAACGTGTTAAGACTGAACTAGGCCCTGCTGTTACTGTTCCAGGTGTGTTGTTGCCACAGAAACCGGCTCACCAGGAAGTGCTCCGGGACGGCATATTTGGCAATCTTTGTGGCGACGAGTTCTCTGAGCTGCTGGAGGATGGCGGGGGCGTCGTCACCAAACTCCTCCTTCAAAACCACGAAGGCAAACGGCACTGAGAGCACAGACACACACACACCTGTTAACTTCACATAACCAGCAAAAGTCAAAGTATAAAAAGGAAAGATCATAATCATAAAAACATTTATACTTTTCACAAAGACATCAAGTTTTCATTTGATTCCCACAGGTGGACACTAACGAATTATGATTACTCACATTACTGTAATTGAGTAGTTTTTTGTGTACTTGTACTTTTTTAAGCCGTTTTTATAATCTGTAATTTTACTTTTACTTAAGTGTGTTTTGTTTGAAGTGACACTGCTAATGTTGGTTGGCACTAGCATCCTGCCAGTAACTAGTTATTTATGCTAACGCTTATGAAGTCCCTTTAAAATGACCACCTGTTTGAATGTAAACAGGGATATGACGTCACATACAGTCCAGTGTTTCCCATTTTCCCAGCCCAGTGCGGAGTCTAATCCCAGTTTCATAATGAAGAAAAACTTCTCATAATAACATAAAGAGGTCTCTAACAACAACATGCCATTGCTTCAGCAAAGGATCTGTCTAACTAATATCTGGCTTTGTGCCCTCGTCAAAAGACTGTGATTTAATTAAATAAGTATAATAAGTAGGCCTATAAATAAGATATAAGTTAAGTTATTTTAGGAGGTTAAGAAGTAACATTTTCTCTGAGTAAGTTTTAAATGAGCTACGTTTTACTTTTACTTCAGAAGATTTTTATAATAGTAACTTTACTTGTACTTAAGTAAAAATTCATCATTGTAACAGTACTTTTACTTAAGTACAATATTTTAGTACTCTTTCCACCTCTGTTTATTTCATCGTTAAATGTTGTTAAGCAGAGAAAGCTGTATAATTAATCTGTTAACTTTCACAGAGATGAAAGGAACTGTGGGCAGCAGGTCTCCTGACAGACCAGCAGGAGGCAGCAAAGTGCTGCGGGTGAAACTAAGAATCTGTTTTTCACTGAACACATTACACTTATATAAAACACACCTCTCTCTCTCTCTGTATGTTATTACATATTCATTTTGTGTGTTGTATTCATTTCAAGTTAAGAATCTTTGTAATGAAAAGTAATGTACATTAGCAGAATAATGAAAACATAACAGTAGATAATTAAATACATTTTAATTTAAAAACATTTTAAAAATGACTAAATGATCATAAATATTGATCTATTTATTTTAAAAAACACAATTTTCCAAACTATCAATTCATGCACTAACCTTACTGAAATATTTTCTCTCTTTTCTTCACATATTTAACTCCAGTGAATGAAATTAAACTCATGATCAGCATAAAGACTTTTCTGCACCAGCAGTCCCTCGTTTCTTCTTTCTTCCCGTCTGCAGCTAGCTTCATTAACAAGACCCGGGTCCCCCACTGACACTCCCCCCTTGCAAATGATACGAATGTCTCTGCACATGTAAATACTGTTTCATCTCGTGTCGGGCACAGACCCGGCACGTCGCACATATTTGTTGTTGATTGTTGATCTTTGTTGTATGTTTGTCTGCGTGTAGCACCTCATCACCACAGCAAATTCCTCGTATGTGTAAAACACTACTTGGCAATAAATTCCTTCTGATTCTGATTCTGAGTCATCTCTGTACCTTTACTTTGAAAGAGCCACAAAAAAGTCAGTAAAGTTTTATTTTGGTTTCCTCGTCCTGCTGACCTGATGAACGCCTGACCGCCATTTCCCATTCAGTCCTGTCCAAAAGTTTTAGGCAGGTGTGGAAAACAAGTATCTGCCTTTGGGCCAATCAGTATCTGCCTGTAGTTTTCAGCACTGAGAAGACCGTTCATTCGACCTAATCCCAAACTTCAAAACCTGCAGTTTCACTTGTTGATCGCATTTCAACCTCCATATGGAATTAATGACCATCAGCACCTGTTTGGTTTAACTGTTCAGTCGTACACCTGATGATAGGCCTACAAAGACTTTGTTGACTGATAAATATAATCTATTAACATGTCTTACATGTACACAGCTGCCTCAAACTCTTGCACAGTACTGTATAAACAGTAGAGAGCAGCAGCAGCAGGGCATGCTGGGAGTTCAGTACCTGTGTTCTAGCTCTCACCTTCTCCCTTGATGTCATGCAGGACTCCGATCACAGCCGTCTCTGGAACAGCTGGATGTTCGTCCTGCAGAACGACACAAAGACCAGCTAATGCTCAGGGTCATGTTCTGTGTTGTCACTTTATGTTTCTGCATCTGTGGCGTCTCACCAGAACGTCCTCGATCTCTGCCGTCCCGAGACGGTGACCGCTCACGTTGATGACGTCGTCCATCCGGCCGGTTATCTGGTAGTAGCCGTCCTCTGACCGGTGCGCTCCGTCTCCAGTGAAGTAACAACCTGGAAGAAACACACCTAACTAACAGGCCGGGATCATGAACCGAAGAGCTGCAGTGCGTTTTGATTTTCACCCACCAGGATACGGTTTGAAATACGCGTCGACGAATCTCTGGTGGTCTCCGTAGATGGTGCGAGCCATCCCAGGCCACGGCTGGCTGATGCACAGAGCGCCGCTGACGGAGTTACCGGAGAGGGGTTCACCCTGATAACACACAGCAGAACATGCAACATACGGGACAGTTGAAAAGATGCTCACATACTACAGGACATACAGGTGGAAGCTAGCTAAGTGCAGGATTAGCATGATATAATCACCTGGGTTCATAGACTGATTAACCTACCACAAAATTAGCAGTTTAAAATTCAGTTATAACATTAAAAAGCTGTTTGCACATTCATACAGGAGTAACAATAACACAGTGATATAATGTAATATTGTGAAATATTAATGTTTTTTACTTCTGATACTTGGATAGCCTATATTTGGCTGATACTAAAACTTACTAAGTAGGGTTTAAAAATGCAGGACTTTTTCTTATAACTGAACACATTTATCTTGTGGTATTGCTACTTTAATAAAGACTGAAACTACTCTCATGATCCAAGATAAAATGCGAGCCACAACAGAAGTGGTACAAATTCAATCCTGCACAAACTGTCTATTAAACACATTAGGGCCATCTTCATCAGCGCTTATATTGCCGTTGGTGTTAGTTCTGAGAGGATTGGAGTGAAAGTGGAGGATGAAATGTGAAACTGAAGGAGGCCTAATCTAATCTAATCTACACTCAGTAACCAGTGATGATGAAAACCCTCAAACGCCCGCAGATTACAGGGCAATGGGGAAACTAGCGGATAATTAAGTTGGGGGATCTGCGATCATCCCAACCGAGCCTGAAAGTCTGTTAATCAAAGAAAACAGATGCTGCTGGTCCTGTTTTAATTGAAAGATATAACTGTGAAAGAGAGGGGGAGTGGGGGGGGGGGGGGGCATTCGAAGGCTCGTTTTATCTCTTACTGCTAAAGGTCAAGTGGAGTTAACAAGAGGGAGGGATTGATGGGAGATCGGATCTGAAGCTCACTGGAGGAGAGCTCAATAGAAACCACTCACTCTGATAGATCCTCGAAGTCATTTAAATCAATCTTAAAAAGACACTCTCAGCAACCGAATCTGCATGTTTTCCCATTTCTATTTCAACATTTCAACATAATTTACAATATTTATACAGGGAATCAAAACGACAACTAAGACACAAAACAACCACAGAGAGACTCCAAATGACAACAAAGAGACTCCAAACGACCACAAAGAGACTCCAGACGACCACAAAGAGACTCCAAACGACCACAAAGAGACTCCAGACGACCACAAAGAGACTCCAAACGACCACAAAGAGACTCCAGACGACCACAAAGAGACTCCAAACGACCACAAAGAGACTCCAGACGACCACAAAGAGGCTCCAAACGACCACAAAGAGACTCCAAATGACCACAAAGAGGCTCCAAACGACCACAAAGAGACTCCAGACGACAACTAAGACATACTAAACAACCACAGACTCAAACGACCACAAAGAGACTCCAAACGACCACAAAGAGACTCCAAACGACCACAAAGAGACTCCAAACGACCACAAAGAGACACAAAACGACCACAAAGAGACTCCAAACGACCACAGAGACACAAAACATCCAAAAAGAGGCTCCAAACGACCACAAAGAGGCTCCAAACAACCACAAAGAGACTCCAAACGACCACAAAGAGACTCCAAACGACCACAAAGAGGCTCCAAACAACCACAAAGAGACTCCAAACGACCACAAAGAGACTCCAAACGACCACAAAGAGACTCCAAACGACCACAAAGAGACTCCAAACGACAACAAAGAGACTCCAAACGACAACAAAGAGACTCCAAACGACCACAGAGACACAAAACGACCACAAAGAGGCTCCAAACGACAACAAAGAGACTCCAAATGACAACAAAGAGACTCCAAATGACAACAAAGAGACTCCAAATGACCACAAAGAGACTCCACACGACACCACAAAGAGGCTCCAAACAACCACAAAGAGGCTCCAAACAACCACAAAGAGACTCCAAACAACCACAAAGAGACTCCAAACAACCACAAAGAGGCTCCAAACAACCACAAAGAGACTCCAAACGACCACAAAGAGACTCCAAACGACCACAAAGAGACTCCAAACGACCACAAAGAGGCTCCAAACGACAACAAAGAGACTCCAAACGACAACAAAGAGAATCCAAACGACCACAGAGACACAAAACGACCACAAAGAGGCTCCAAACGACAACAAAGAGACTCCAAATGACAACAAAGAGACTCCAAATGACAACAAAGAGACTCCAAATGACCACAAAGAGACTCCAAATGACCACAAAGAGACTCCAAACGACCACAAAGAGACTCCAAACGACAACAAAGAGACTCCAAATGACAACAAAGAGACTCCAAATGACAACAAAGAGACTCCAAACGACAACAAAGAGACTCCAAATGACAACAAAGAGACTCCAAACGACCACAAAGAGACTCCAAACGACCACAAAGAGACTCCAAACAACCACAAAGAGGCTCCAAACAACCACAAAGAGGCTCCAAACAACCACAAAGAGACTCCAAACAACCACAAAGAGGCTCCAAACAACCACAAAGAGACTCCAAACGACAACAAAGAGACTCCAAACGACCACAAAGAGACTCCAAACGACAACAAAGAGACTCCAAATGACAACAAAGAGACTCCAAATGACCACAAAGAGACTCCAAACGACAACAAAGAGACTCCAAATGACACAAAGAGACACAAAACACAAAGAGACTCCAAACGACCACAAAGAGACTCCAAACGACCACAAAGAGACTCCAAACGACCACAAAGAGACTCCAAACGACCACAAAGAGGCTCCAAACGACCACAAAGAGACTCCAAACGACCACAAAGAGACTCCAAACGACCACAAAGAGACTCCAAACGACAACAAAGAGACTCCAAACGACCACAAAGAGACTCCAAACGACAACAAAGAGACTCCAAACGACCACAAAGAGACTCCAAACGACCACAAAGAGACTCCAAACGACACAAAGAGACTCCAAATGACAACAAAGAGACTCCAAATGACAACAAAGAGACTCCAAATGACCACAAAGAGACTCCAAATGACCACAAAGAGACTCCAAACGACCACAAAGAGACTCCAAACGACCACAAAGAGACTCCAAACGACCACAAAGAGGCTCCAAACAACCAAAAGACTCCAAACAACCACAAAGAGACTCCAAACAACCACAAAGAGGCTCCAAACGACAACAAAGAGACTCCAAATGACAACAAAGAGACTCCAAACAACCACAAAGAGACTCCAAATGACAACAAAGAGACTCCAAACAACCACAAAGAGACTCCAAACAACCACAAAGAGACTCCAAACAACCACAAAGAGGCTCCAAACGACCACAAAGAGGCTCCAAACAACCACAAAGAGACTCCAAACGACCACAAAGAGACTCCAAACGACCACAAAGAGGCTCCAAACGACCACAAAGAGACTCCAAACGACAACAAAGAGACTCCAAATGACAACAAAGAGACTCCAAATGACAACAAAGAGACTCCAAATGACCACAAAGAGACTCCAGACGACCACAAAGAGACTCCAGACGACCACAAAGAGACATAAAACGTCCAAAAAGAGGCTCCAAACAACCACAAAGAGACTCCAAACGACAACTAAGACATACTAAACAACTAAAAAGAGACTCAAAATGACCACAAAGATCCGAACTATGTGTTGGTGAGCTCCAGTCGAGATTACAGTACAGTACAAAACTTCTGTTCCAATAACCAGTGTCAGGAATCCATTTATAGTGTAATAAACTGACTGTACATGTAGTTCACTAACTGAAGTTACTCATGAAGTCTTGTACTAGCTCCCAATTAGACCTTTAAAAATGTTCATCAGGTTCCCTCTTCACGAGCTCAAAGCTGGTTTCCAGGAAGCAGTCAAAGAACTAAACAGCTGTTTCCTGTTTAGTATTGACAGGGTTGTATTGTGGTTTTCAGGTCACCTTCTGTCCCATGAGAACCGGCTGGATGCCAAAGAACGGCCTCATCGCCATCGCTGGGATGATCGGAGCTCCTTCCTCTGCAGGACGAGGGGCGATGCAGACTCCACCCGTCTCTGCAAGGACGAAAGACAAGAAATCTGATTTCATATCAGAGAAGGGGGGAGAATTCCTCCAGCCAGAGGGACTCTTTGATGATGCATTAGATAAATATTTATCCAGGCTTTAACATAGGATGAAATATATAGATTTACTGCGTGGTGGTTGGATCACTGTTAGTGAGAAGGTAACTGCTCCAACCGACACTTCCTTGTTCCTAACTCACATGTGGCCGAGCTAACCAATCAGAAGCTAGGAGGAGCTGCACTGAGGTGAATGTGAGGAGGTAGATTCAGCAGAGTCAACGGTTTTAATGTCGCTGATGAAAATATTGAAATATCTAAACAATAAACTGTATAAACATGGTAAACACATACAGTTTATACAGTAATTTAACTGAATGATGAATATATACAGTGAGGAAAATAAGTATTTGAACACGCTGCTATTTTGCAAGTTCTCCCACTTAGAAATCATGGAGGGGTCTGAAATTGTCATCGTAGGTGCATGTCCACTGTGAGAGACATAATCTAAAAAAAAAATCCAGAAATCACAATGTATGATTTTTTAACTATTTATTTGTATGATACAGCTGCAAATAAGTATTTGAACACCTGAGAAAATCAATGTTAATATTTGGTACAGTAGCCTTTGTTTGGTCAAACGTTTCCTGTAGTTTTTCAGCAGGTTTGCACTGCAGGAGGGATTTTGGCCCACTCCTCCACACAGATCTTCTCTAGATCAGTCAGGTTTCTGGGCTGTCGCTGAGAAACACGGAGTTTGAGCTCCCTCCAAAGATTCTCTACTGGGTTTAGGTCTGGAGACTGGCTAGGCCACGCCAGAACCTTGATATGCTTCTTACAGAGCCACTCCTTGGTTATCCTGGCTGTGTGCTTCGGGTCATTGTCATGTTGGAAGACCCGGCCTCGACCCATCTTCAATGCTCTAACTGAGGGAAGGAGGTTGTTCCCCAAAATCTGGCAATACATGGCCCCGGTCATCCTCTCCTTAATACAGTGCAGTCGCCCTGTCCCATGTGCAGAAAAACAGCCCCAAAGCATGATGCTACCACCCCCATGCTTCACAGTAGGGATGCTGTTCTTGGGATGGTGCTCATCATTCTTCTTCCTCCAAACACGGTTAGTGGAATTACGACCAAAAAGTTCTATTTTGGTCTCATCTGACCACATGACTTTCTCCCATGACTCCTCTGGATCATCCAAATGGTCGTTGGCAAACTGAAGACGTGACATGTGCTGGTTTAAGCAGGGGAACCTTCCGTGCCATGCGTGATTTCAAACCATGACGTCTTAGTGTTTACCAACAGTAACCTTGGAAACGGTGGTCCCGGCTCTTTTCAGGTCATTGACCAGCTCCTCCCGTGTAGTTCTGGCTGATTTCTCACCTTTCTTAGGATCATTGAGACCCCACGAGGTGAGATCTTGCATGGAGCCCCGGTCCGAGGGAGATTGACAGTCATGTTTAGCTTCTTCCATTTTCTAATGATTGCTCCAACAGTGGACCTTTTTTCACCAAGCTGCTTGGCAATTTCCCCGTAGCCCTTTCCAGCCTTGTGGAGGTGTACAATTTTGTCTCTAGTGTCTTTGGACAGCTCTTTGGTCTTGGCCATGTTAGTAGTTGGATTCTTACTGATTGTATGGGGTGGACAGGTGTCTTTATGCAGCAAACGACCTCAAACAGGTGCATCTAATTTAGGATAATAAATGGAGTGGAGGTGGACATTTTGAAGGCAGACTAACAGGTCTTTGAGAGGCAGAATTCTAGCTGATAGACAGGTGTTCAAATACTTATTTGCAGCTGTATCATACAAATAAATAGTTGTTGTTTTTTTTTAGATTATGTCTCTCACAGTGGACATGCACCTACGATGACAATTTCAGACCCCTCCATGATTTCTAAGTGGGAGAACTTGCAAAATAGCAGGGTGTTCAAATACTTATTTTCCTCACTGTATATATATATATATAAACATTCCACCTGGCTGCCACTAGGGGGCGTCAGATGTTGCTTCTACATGCAACTTTAATGTCCTTTAATTTCTTAATTTATTGGGGATTTTTCTCCTTTTAAGAGAAAGAAGCAGCTGGCGGAGAGTTTAAAGTCTGATTTAAAAACAACACACACACAGTGTGCAGTGATTGTCGAGGAATTAGGTCACACACTCTCTCTGCTGTCAGTGATCCTCGACTGTCTTGCCCTGGGGGCCCAGAGTCTGGGGTCGGGGGGGGGGTAAGTGTGTTGAGGATTTGATCTTAATTCATTTTCGGCAGAGCTGCAGATGTTCTGCTGCTAATCGTTCAAATTAGGGTTAAAGCTCCAGTAAAGAGAGAATCAGACGGACTTACAGTCGGATCAGCAGTCAGACCCACAAACAACCTGACAAACAGGAAGAGGGCCGGGGAGGCCTGAGATTCTGTTCTCTCCTCTGATGTACAGGGCTGTCCTCCTGCATACATCTGTCAGTTTCTCAAACGATGTAAACCAGTCTCTGTTCTTTGAGTCCGACAGGCAGCATCAGAGTAATATTAAGTGTACATTAAAACACGAGTGTGCGGCTCTGCAGCTTAGTGACGACGTAAGATGATGCTGGAATCTGAATTTACTCGGTGTTGTAGCTGTACAGTGCAGTGTAGGACGGTGAATGAGTGAACCGGGTTCACCTTGTGTTGTGCTGCATAAATAAAGTGACTTGGCTCATGGAAAGTAAGGCAGGTGTTTGGACAAGAAGGTCAGTCAGTGCCTCACCTAAGACGGAGAGGCTTCAAGAAACAGGAGACGCTTTTAAATAAGAGTTTAAAAAGAGTAACACTAAATAAAATAGAAGATAAAAATAAAACAAGACAAACAGGTTTATAAAAAGTACACAGCAGATATCAGTAAAGAGTCCCAAATTTGACCTGATAAAATTTAAAAGCCCTGGAGTTGAAGTAGGCCTGCAGTTTTCTGCCACTTTGAGATGTGGATCATAAAACGTGAACGCTGCTTCTCCAGGTTTAATAATAATAATTATAAGAATATTAATAATCTTTATTTATAGAGCACATCCAAGGAATTCTATGTTACAAAGTAATAAAGTCAACAAACTCTCCTGTGAAAGTTCGTTTTGAGAAAGGACTCAAAGGAGTTCACTGACTCAGCCCAGCTGATTTCTTTAGTCTGGATTGGAAGCAGACCAGGTAATAAAGACTGCTGACTTCAGAGCGGTCATGTTTTATACTCTGTTTTATAGATAAGGAAACTTTTTGCATGTGTGTAAATGTACATTAACCCACACAGGTTGCTGTGTGTCTCACCTGTCTGCCACCAGGTGTCCACTAAAGGACACCGTCCATCTCCAACCACACTGTGGAACCAGTGCCAGGCCTCGTGGTTGATGGGTTCTCCCACTGCAAACACAGAGTTATATGGTTTAATAAAACCTTTATCAGCTTCCTTTATTTAAACTGTGTGTTTAATCAGCCGCCAAAACATTTAGAAGCACTACAAGTACTTATGTACTATACTGTGGTATTCTGTTGTGCTACTTTATACTCCACTAAATGACGGCTGTGGTTACTTTTCAGATTAAGATTTTACAGTTAGCATAACTGTAGTATAAAACACACTTTAAGATTAAACTGGTGGCTCCATGTTTAAGGCTTTTCATTTTCATTACCACAGAAGAGACACGTCTCCTCTAAACTTTAGATGTTTAATTACTGCTGGAGGCAAAAATAAACGTTAGAGAAAAGTGTGTATCAGAACTTCTTCTTTCCTCTCCCGACCCCTCAGACCGATATGGTGAGCTGGATTTTAAAAGCAGGACTTGTTCTTGAGTCAACATTAAAACGTGATGTCACGTGAGACCTGATCCGAGCGTCCGCAGAGACGAGCGGTCGTACTTCTTCACCCAGCTGTCGTCGTACTTCAGCAGCAGCCGCAGGGCCGTCGGAGCTCCGTAGAACTGACTGATTCTCAGGCGCTGGACAGTCTCCCAGTACCTGCCTGCAGGACCACACACACAGTGACACGTGAACACGTATGACACGGCTGGGTCACCTTTAATGTTGTGTTTTCTAACTACAAAAAAAGTCTAAACGGGGGCGAGAGGCTGAGCTGACAGGTAGAAAGAGTCCTGCCAGCAGCTCTGTTAGGCTTCCTTAGACACTGTGGTGCTCTGAGATAAATGCTATCTTAGTTTAGTGTGTAAACAAGTCGTTCAATAATAACATAATGCGAAACCTTCCCTCTGCTGCTCCTATCACTCTGCTAACACCTTGTTTAAATCTTGACCAATTTTAAAACGTTGGATCCCACAGACAGAATGAACCGGTGTTTAATATTTTAATCTTTAGAACAAACACAGACATAAGGTTCAGTCCAGACGCAGGACCACGCACTCTGTGTTTATTATTATTATTATTTATTAAGCGGTTTCAGAGTGGTGGTTCTGGGGACTTGAGATCTCACAGAATCTCACGTGATCAAACGTGACTTCAGACAGTAACAAACATGGAGGCAGACTGTCGTCGTCAGCTGGTTGACCTTGTGCGTGTGAGTTTTGCACGGAAAAACAAAAGGAGAGAATCAAACTGTGGATGAACTTGAGGCTGAGAAGAGGGAATCAGCAGGTTTATACATTGTATAGATGCACAACATGCTGGGGACGCGTCCCGCCTCGCTCTCATTGGCTGTGGCGGGTTTCTGATATTGGAGCCTCAGCAACCTTCAGAGTATGTCTGTAAGCCCCTCCCACTACAGGAGCATTCGGGCTGATAATTAGTTCGGCACTGGCCTCAGCTTGGGAACGCCCCTGCGATTACTGTCAGGTGATAAATTAGACAACACGTTCTGTTTATAAAGGTTACTGCAGCTTTAAGTCATTCCAGAGGATGATTAATATTTGACGTGAAATAAAAAGTAAACACAGGGAAACTCTTATCAAGGCATCGTTTGTCTTTTTACAGCTTCTTCCTGGACATTTCTGTCCCGAGCTGCTGCATGAAGTTCTGTCCCGAGTAACCAACAACTAACAGGTCAAAAGTCAAGAGCACATCACAGTGACAAAAGGTCACATCACCTTGTGGCGACGCCGTGTTAAGAGCTAAAACAATAGAGCTGAGATAAAGTGGCTTCGCTCCACAAGTGAAGATAATAAACCAACATTAACGGCATTAATGAGTAACCGAACACTGGAGAGAAGCCAGGAGAGCCCTGTAAGCCCCATTTAATTAAAGGGACAGGGTCTTGATATTTCACTCTGTCTGAAGGACAGAAACCACAACAACACACAGTCTGAGAGAAACCTTCTGTTTCCACTAAAGGTTCCTTTGTAGGGGACCAAAAACCAGAGGAACTAGGGTCTTAATTTACTTAATTTATTTAAGATTTAGATTTTATTTGGACATTTGAGACACCAGAACAACTGATCTCAGTTTGTTCTGATGATTCAACCAGCACCAACACTGAGCATGACGACGGGCTGGTTGATCCAGAGCTCTGCTGGTGGACTGAACCTTGTGTCTAGTTTTGGATCTTACCTGGGTCTGGATAAACAGGTGTGCTCTCAAACAGGACGGTGGTGGCGCCATTGCACAGCGGTCCATACACCACGTAGCTGTGCCCCGTTATCCAGCCGACGTCCGCCACACAGCCGAACACGTCTCCATCCCGGTAGTCAAACACGTACTGAAGAAATCACAACAGCAACATAAGGGTTACCACAGCGTCCGTCTGTTTCTGTCTCACACGAGGTGCAGGTGTGCAAAATTGTTTTCCATTTCCAGAAACTAAATTCCGAGTCCGAGATGCAAACCATCCACCTGCCATCTGGACCAGTTTATAAAACACAGATTCAACTTCCCAGCAGGACAGGAAGTATAACATGAGCTCAAACAAAACACTAAACTACGTGTTGTGTCTCGCTCTCTCCATCAGATTCCTGTGAACTCACACTCGACACAAACACAGTACAGAGAAGTACCAAGCTATATATTTATCCATGATTAATCATGATCCAGCTATATAACACTGACGGGGTAATTCTGCCTAATGAGTACTTTTACTTTTGATACTTTTAGTTGTAATGGACTAGTTTAATGTGGTATTACTACTTTTACTACATGTTTTTAATACTAGCAGTAGTACTGTTGGTCAGTGGTCAGTATGAGAGTCCTCTCTGTGTGAATGATTTGTTTGGTGGAAGGAATCTGGAGTTGTTTTGATTAGAAACAAAATGGCTGACGAGCCAACGTGAGGTGCCTAGCAACGCCTCCCCCTCCCTCCATCTCTCTCTCTCTCTCTGTGTGGTAGTGTCTCTCGCCCTGGCATGGGCCCAGCCGCCCTTGTCTTTTTCACATAAAGCAGCTTTTGTTCTGTTGTTTCATCCAAACAAGCAGCGAGCCAACAACCCCCCCGAACCCTGAGCCGCTAAGCTGCTTTAGAAATTAGCACTGATAAATATTTGGCAGTGACGGGGGCGGGGGGGGTTATGGTTTATGTTTTTATTCAATTATCATCAAAAACATCACGTCAGTCCTGCAAACACACGCGCAGAGGAAGCAGATGTTTCTGCTTGTCAGTCAGAAAAAGCTAATTTAAAGCTTTCTAAGGCAGATCTGCCCGCCGGGCTGCGTCCTCGCTGCTCGGAGGACAAACAGCGGCGTGTTGTTGCCCCGTTGTGTAACGTCCTCATTAAAACACCACACGAGTCACAGCCCTGAGACAACACAACACCACCCGAGCCCTGAGGCACAGAAACAGAGGGAAGCCGGCGTGGTGGCCCAGGTTCATCATTTATTTTAAACTCACAAATCCCAGAACTTCAAAACTTCCTGCAAAAACTTTCAGAATAAATATTACATAAAAACTACAAACAACACGTCTGGACAAACACTCGGATACACATCATCTGAGGTGAGGTGTGTGTGACACTGTTGGAGCCCTGGACGAGATTTTAGATTGCCCCCCCCCCCCGTCTAATCAAGACCTAATAGCCCCTGTTTTTCAGCAGCTTTTCTGCTCAGGTTCAAACTTTCTGCACATTCAGAATGTCTCCCACAGGTCCAGAGAAAAGTGGTAATATTAGAGACTAGAGACATCATTTAATGAGGATTTATTTAATAATTTAATTTCATTATTGCTCCGCTGATAGGATCCCCTTCAGACCGTCTGACAGACACAGTCTGAGACTGTATGTTAGGATGAAAAAAGGTGAAACTGAAATCACCTCTCATCAGGCAGAAATCTCACCACAGACACACACGTTACCTTCAGCAGCTCTGATAAAGTGCAGCTCACAGTTACAAACAGAGCAAGGTTGCACTTCAGTTTTTAGATGTTTATATTGCAAAACTTTACCAGCTACATTACCAATCTGTCACAAACAGTCTGGACAGGTTTCCTTGATTACTATCAATGTATATGCCGCTATCTCATCAGCTGGGCGGAGTTGATTCACGCCAATTCAAAAACTTTCACTTGGGCGCCCCCGGACATTTTGCGCCCTAGGTAACCGCCCATGTCGCCTACGCCACGGGCTGGCCCTGTGTGTGCGTGCCTGTACCTGGTGTGTGAGCGCGGCGTACAGCAGGTATCCAGCCTGTGTGTGGACGATGCCTTTAGGTTTCCCCGTACTTCCTGATGTGTAGAGAAGAAACAGAAGATCTTCACTGTCCAGAGGCTCCGCACGACAAACAGGGGACGCAGAGGACATCACCTAGAGAGACAAGATGTAACTGTACTACTACTACTGATACTACTACTGATGCCCTTCCTACTGCTGCTACTAACTAAGAATAATGCTGTGACGCCCTAACCAGTCCTCTCCCACATGTATCATTCAGGGATCATCCACTGATCAGGTGAGTCGACCAGGTGTCTCACCTCCTCCAGGGGGACGTCCAGCTGTCCCATCGCAGCAGGGTTTTCTGTCCTCTGAGAGACGAAGACGTGTCGGACAGTCGGGCAGCTCTTCACGGCCGAGTCCACCGTAGACTTCAGGTCGATGAGTCTTCCGCCCCTCACACCTTCATTACAGGTGAGCACGGCTTTACACTGAGCTGTCAACACAACACACACCTGCTTAGCACAATAACCTTCACTGTGACAGAGTGCAGCAGCCTCCAGGAGAAGTAAAGCCCTGGATGGAACTTGCTTTGATCTAGTTCACATACTAGTCTGTCTCAGAGTTTGCGTACGTATGTCTCCAGAAATTAATGCTACACATCCACGAGATGAAGTCCAGCATTATTAAATTCAGCAGCATACTTTAAAAAAAGGAGATTTATGGGGGATGTTTACAATAATCCTCCTGGAGCTAGTCCTTAATTACATCGTTATGATGTCACAACCTGCTCGAGTGTCGCTATGTTTGGTTTGTTTACAATGTGCATATTCGGAGGTTGTCGAGGAAGATAATCTGGTGTTGGCGAGGGATGATCCGGCCCTGATCTGCCCCCTAGTGGATTCATATTTAACACAACACAGCATGATGTTCATTTAGTAAATATGGTCCCATGGTAAATTATGGTGCGTTCTCACTTCATGTAAGTTAACTACAACGTCTTGTTCAGCGGTCAGTTGTACTAAAACACAGTCTGAGGAGTCGGTTGATAATTACATTTTGTTTTAAGCCAGTTTGTCGATAGCCAATATTAGCATCCCAGCTAAAATCACAGTTTATAAATCACCTAGCTAACCAAGTTACCAAGCTCCACCCTCTCATCTGCATATGGTGACATCTGGTCCCAAAAAAACAAAGATGGTGACGGTCAAAATGCCAATAACTCTTAATTCTTTACACGGCCACGGTCGCACCAGCAGACTCCAGAGCAGCTTCTTCCCTCAGGCTGGGAGCCTCCTCAGTTCATCTTCAGCACTGCAGCATGCAGAAAAGCTTATTTCTGTCACTTGTTATTTGATATCTGCTGTATATCTGTTTTGTAAATGTGTGTTTCTTGTTTTTATGGGTAGCATGAAGCGGCTCTTCTTTAAGGTGCTGAATTAACTATTGGACTCTTCAAACCTGCTGTGAACTTTAAATATATACGTCTTTTTTCCCCAACAGTTTTGTTCTGACTTTTAACCCTTTGATCGGAGAAGACTTTCTGCTTGGTTGGGCTCACATGTGATCACAGGTGAGTTATTAACTCTCTCACAGGACGAGTTCGGACCTGAACTGAGTGACTGAGGAACACGTTTGACTTGTCTGAGCACATTCACAAGCTTTTTCTAAGGTTCTCATGGTTTGTCTTGTGTCAATACTGCAGCTTAAACTTTTATCTTCTGCCCGGCGGATCCACCAGCGGCTCCGCCACTGCAAACACAGCAGGTCACTATTTCCAGGTGTTTGAGTTTGAGTCACGCGGAGGTGTAACACCAGACAGAGTCAAATTTCAGAAATATGTCCCATTTTATTTGTACAGCCCAAAATCCCAGATCACAGCCTGCCTCAGGAGCCTCACAGTCTGAGCAGCATGCAATCAGTATTTTAGTCTCGTATCCATGTCTGTCCTGTCTCTATGTTGTGCTGCAGAACCAAGTACACCTGTACGTCAGTCAAGTTGTTGTCGTTATGATTTTAACTTTTTGTTTTTTTCTCCTGGAGAGTTTCTGGTTTTAAACTCTGAGACCGCAAAGTTTCCAAAAACACCACACCTGTCAGGAAACTTCCCGCTTGTTTGAGCCTGCATGTGATCGCAGGTGAGATATTAACGGGACGAGTTCTGACCTGAACAGAGGAACCGGTGTCACTCGTCTAAACACGGATTTATGTAAAAAGCAACATTTCAGTCACAGACATTAAACTGAATATCTAGAACAACGTGTTTATGCTGCAGCCACAGTCTGCAAGGACCATTCATTGAAGTAGTCACATCACAAACACCTGTTATCCCCCCCGTCGGGACAATTACACTTCCAATAACAGTTAACAATAACTGATAATAAAAAACAACAAACAGGAAATGCAAAATCATTTCTAAGCTCAACTAGGAGAGAGTCCAAACATCTGTTACAAGCTGTAAATAATCTCTAAATCATTATCATAGTTTGATCCCCCGTGAAAGGCGTGTGCAGGAATCCACAGTGCTCTTTGGCGCCACCGACACTGTCATCAGACTCAGCACGATGCAGACCTGAAGACACAACACGTCCTCAACCCTACACGACAGGAGAGGTCGTTTGCCAACGACTCAGAAAATCACATCGGAGAGTAGGCTACTGGCGAACTTCGTTGTCATGGGAACAATTATAAACACGTGGTTAACATTGTGAAATAGTTGCAGGTTGGTCGGCTTTAGGAAAACATCATAGTTTGAGTTGAAATAAGTCACATGACGTAAGTAAATTAAGTTAGGTAAGTTAAAATGAGTTTCACACGTGACACAAACAGCAGTCTAGTAGGTGAAAGTCCAGATTGACCCGAGAAGCCAATACTGTTCGTCTCGCAGGACTCAGGAAAAGAGGACGGCCAGTCTAAGAGAATACGACGTAACTATGCGAGAATAAATGTGCTACGCGAAGCTCTGTCATCAAATACGATTTTACCCATTTTAAATAGTTACAAAATCAATCGAAAATCAGCATTAATAATGTGGCAGGCCACCACAAATAAATCAGTGTGTGGGAAACGCCTACTGTAGAGGTCATCCAGCTGGATCTTTGCCTTTATTAAGGCGAGGGTGTCAGCATCTGTGACTGAAGTAAAATCAATTTGCAGAAGGCTGCGGTACATAACATGAGGCTACACACTGCAACATAATATTACATTACAAACCAAAAGAAAGAACTTAATTGTGAGTCTTATTAAAGTATCATAATGTGCGTCTGTGTTGTATGATCTTGCTAAATGTGGTTGATGGATTTTGTTGTTTGAGTTTGAGAACGTGCGCCGCTTGAAATGTTGGAATAGTGGGACGGCATTCTCTCCTTCCCTTTGGTAAAGGATGGTCCGGTGTACCCTATGCTAAAGAGATATGTAAGGACGCATTGAGGCACCTTTCTTCAGCTTTGAGAGAATTCGAACAGCTCTTATCATGGCTGCCACTGAAATACTACCGGGTCACTTCACTCAGTCAGAACCTTTCTAAGCAAAAAAGACTTTTCAAACGCAGCCTTACTCTCTTTAAACTACCTCACCTGACTTCTTCCTTTGCGCCCATCATAATTACTAAGACCACCAGAGGTCTCTGCCTAACCTTAAACTCAACTATAGGTCATAAGAAGCTGCTGCACAGACAACCTATACGGCTGTAGTGGTCTGCAGTCTGAAGAATAAACTTCTTCTTAAAGAAGCAGAGAGTTTTGTAATAAATAAAAACTGAACACAGGATTTCTGACCTAGTGCCCCCTTCAGGACAAACTTTACGTGTTTACAGTTCAGACTGGGAACAGATAAATTATCGTTGTGTCTGTAATAAACACTGCAGCCTCCAGCAACACGTGTCCTGGTTCCCCCACTTACTCCTGCAAATAATCCCATCACGCTCTGCTTCTCCTGCTGCTCAGCCATGGAAATGCCGTGTTTGGGTTTGAAGGTAGAGACTGTTTCCAAAACACAGACGTCCTTGAGAAGCGTGACCGACCTCCACAGATCTGCTGATTAAACCAGCAGCTGCGGTGGGTGGAAGGAGCAAGGCACTCATTCTGCCAAAGTCAGAGGTTCAATTCCCATCAGGGTGGAAATTAAATATGAATAAAAGTAATCAGGATCCTGCTGGTTTGACCTTCATGCTGCTACAGCCAAAAGAATGAAACAAACTGAAATAGATTGAAATGTTCCACTAGCAACCACAGAGGACACAACAGAAAATGATGTATGTATCTCTGGTGTGATGTTGTGCAACAGGTAGATACAACGCCAAGACTCTTCAGTTACACTAGCCTCACAGAGCTGCTAGTTCTGTGAGGCTGTACTTACTTTACATTATAAATAAACGTCTGTCACATCCTGTCCCTCGCCAAATGAGTCCCCACACGAGTCCAGAGTTGTATAATTGCTCTCATTGTCAGAAGGTTTAATAATTATAGCAGCATTTATTTATTGTATGTACATAACATGTAAAAAGCTCTGTAGAGCTGCAGCTGCAGTTCCTCTGATGTCCACTAGATGCTGCCCCAATAAAACTCTGAGTGTGTTGAAGCGAATGTGAAAAGCCCCGTAATGATTAGAACATAAAGCTCTGTGGAGGAGGACTCACCATCCTGGATCCTCCCTGCCAGAGCCTCTGAGCTGAAGCCAGCAAACACCACAGTGTGCACTGCACCGATACGGGCACACGCCAACATGGCCGCCACCGCCAGCGGGGACACTGGCATGTAAATGGCCACCCTGTCCCCCTTTTGGATCCCATGGCTCTTGAGTGTGTTGGAAAGGCGGCAGGTGGTCTCCAGAAGCTCTCTGTTTGACAAACAACAGGTCACTGAGGTTGATGGTGATAATGATCTTTATCGTAGAAAATGTCCTTTTTTATTTATTTCTCATTTATTTCTGTTTCATGCTGTTTTTATTCTTCCATCATCTTGCACAACCATCATCCCCCTGAATACTGCTCTCTGACCTGCAGACAGCAGCTGACTGAGTAATGAAATGATGATGGCCGATGAAAAAACAGAAAATCGAACCTGTTCTGAAAACATTTCCGACGGACAAAGGTTTGGAGTTGGTGCGTACACATGATGACAGAACGTGAGCTCATATTTTTATGTAAACGTCATCTGATGCGTTCTTGTTTACCACTTGTATCCATATATGTTATATGACATAACTTACACCATAGTGACTTTGATTTTTGTTGATCCTGATTACCAAAAGGTGACTGTTAAACTTTATCAGCGGAATATATGTCTTTTGCACCTACTACAATACATTCCTGTACGTTTATGGTACGGTTATGAGAGATTCTGAGAGAGATAACTTCAGGACGACGCAGTATTGATAAGATAATATCAGCATAATCTGCAGAGATGGAAGTTACCGATGACCATAGGACAGCACAGTAATAAAGATACCGGCATCATCTGCATAGAGGGAGGATATAAGGACTTTATCACTGAGCAGATTTCTGCCTGATGTTTGCTGATGTTCGTACCTGTAGGTGACCTTCACCTCAGTTCCAGGTTCATCTCGTTCCCAGATCAGAGCCACTCGGTCCGGATGTTTCTCCACATGGACATCCAGACAGTTCACTGAGAGACAGACAGACAGGAAATCATTAGATTCAACAGTGTTTGGTCTTAAGGAAGATCGCCAGTGTCTACAAAGTGATATCAGCCTTAACATTCTGACCTCTGACAAGTGAAGTGAATAACAGCTATTACCTGGTTACCATGGCAACTGTCAGTAGGCGGGATCTATCAGGTTGCAGGTGAACATTGTGTCCCCAGATTGGATGCGTTAGAAGCAGGGAAAATGGGCAGCGTGAGGATTTAAACAACTTTGACAAGGGCCAAACTGTGATGGCTAGACAACTGGATCAGAATATCTCCAAACTGGTCTGCATTGGTCAGTACCTCTCACAAGTGCACCAAGGAAGGAAAAGAGGTGACTGGTGACAGGGTCATGGACGGCCAAGATTCATTGATGCACGTGGGGAACAAAGGCTGTAGATTAAAGACTGCAGGTCCAACTGCTAAAGATGTTGATGCTGGTTCTGATAGAAAGGTGTCAGAAAACACTAGGCACTGTAGTTTGTTGTGTGTGCTGGGTAGTCAGTCGCTGCCCCCAGTCAGGGGGCCCATGCTGACCCCTGTCCACTTCCAAAAGCACTTACAATGGGCATGTGAGCATCAGAAGTGGATCCCTTTACTAAGAAGCTTATCACAACTAGTGATGTGCTGATCGATACTTAAGTATCGATATTTCTGATACCAGCGTTTCCTGGATCCATACTCAGATGAATGGATCGACATCCAAATTCAGACATTTGGAGTGAGTATGTGTTTTATCAGAAGTATCTTACCGTAAGTCCTTTACATTTCCCACAATTGAATACTGACTCTGGCTGACTGTAAAAGCCGTCAGGTCTGGCTGTATTTTAGCTGTGAAGGTAATAATGACGATGTGTGTGATGTGTGTGCAAAGACAGTGAAATACTTTGGCAACACCATCTGAAATGAAGTGAAAATAATATCGGCAATATCAGCCTGGGTATTACTTGGTATTGGATTATGTAGGAATTAAGTGGTTTCGCACATCACTAATAACAACTCACTGTGAGCTACGGCTGAAAAGTTTCATGACATGTTACGGTCCATTTTATCGTAATGTAGCATCACGTTTGAAGAGCCAATGCTAGCAAAATAAACAAAAGTGCTGTTAGCCAATACTTAGCAGGTGTTTGATGCATATCCAGCTGGGCTCCCAGTCACCATTTTGACTCCAGCACCCTATTCATGTTATCCAACACTCAAAACATTGCTCCCAGCCAGAGCTGAAACACAATCCTTAAGCCAATTTAACATTTTTCAACTGTTTAAAACAAGCTAAGAAGAAAACATTCATCTATAATCCCAATCAAAACCACCAGTTACCAGCCAGCAGTGACTAATAAATGTACCTTTGGAAAAGAAAATACAACTTACATTATTCAGAGTTTCCATCACTTGAGTTAATGTCATCGAACTTTGCAACCATGTGACCTGACTCACAACACTGCTGCAACATAATGTTAAAATAGTTTACCTGGACATTTGACTTGTTCTCTCATTTTCCACATGTTTTCAATGAATGGAAAATTGGGCAACTGTTTTCCAGATTTTCTAGGACGCGGGGGAACCCTGTCCAGGGATCGATGGGTCAAGGCTGTTTTGGCAGCAAAAGGGGGACCTATCACAATATTAGGTAGGTGGTCATAATGATATGGCCAATTGAGTTAGGTGTAAAAATAAACCAAACTGTCTTTGAAACTGCCTGACATTCATCAGTCCAATAACACTATTTCTTTCTCAACCTGCAGAAGTCAAAATATGATGGTGCATATTACAGACTACTGCAATGTAGAGCTAAAATGATTATTAATTTAACAAACATTCTCTGAATGCAGCCTTGAAATGGTGAGGATATCCTGCTTTTCTCTGTTCAAAAAGATATTCAGTTTACAATAATGCAAACCAGAGGACTAACATCTCTGGGGTTTGGGTGTGTGTCGTGCTGAAACGTGGCATAAACACATCGTGTTGATGCAGCATCCTGATGGAAACTGTCTTCATTTATACTGTGATTGAAAATTAATCCCAAAATGGATTTAAGACTGAAGCTCCCGTTTGTGTCTCACGCAGAAGATTTACAGAATATTTTATGTAACAAGGAATCTCACTGTATCAGACATGACACAATACAAATCATCCAGCTAACGTTATTGGAATATTATTGGATTATTATGAGAGACAGAAAAACAACAGGAGGAGGATAAAGACACAAAACTCTGGAGGAGACTCTGAGGTCTCCATACACTGACAGTGTTATTAGGAAACACTCCGTAAAGCTGAATTCATTATGCAGACGATACAAAGCTCTTAATGGTCAGGCACCATCTTATCTTAAAGAGCTCATAGTACCTTACTACCCCACCAGAGCACTGCGCTCCCAGAATGCAGGGTTACTTGTGGTTCCTAGAGTCTCCAAAAGTAGACTAGGAGCCAGAGCGTTCAGCTATCAAGCTCCTCTCCTGTGGAGCCAGGTTCCAGTTTGGGTTCAGGAGGCAGACACCATCTCCACATTTAAGAGTAGGCTCACGACTTGGCCGTCCCCCCTGAGTCCAGGTTCTGCCCCAGGTTGCTAGCTGTTGGTTGTCCTTGCCACTGTGGCTGAGCGCATGGTGGGAACTGTTGGGTTAATAATCCTGCATTCATGCAGTGTGTGAATAATCCAGAATATTAGTTCCCGACTGTGAAAGTTCACCTCAACGCCCCTCAAGTCTGAACTCAGAAAGTCAGTGAAAACGTTGCACGAGCTGCCGAGTGTCCGTCATATAACACGACGAAAGTAAATGCTTTATTTATTTACATATTACATCAGCTATTTTTTCTATGGTTTGAGGTTGTAACCTGTCAGAAGGTGTGAGATACTTTAATCCAAGCCGGTTATGTTTCTTTCATAAACTTTCAGAAACCATATCAGACCTACCCAGCCACGGGCATCTGGCTCGTCTCGTCATGTCCTTACAGAACACAAACACAGCCACCAGAATGATCTACGTAAGTGACCTATACGAGTTACTGATTAGCATTAACCCCGACACCAGTCAGGTGAAGCAGTGATGACGATGTGCTGCTGCAGAAACATGGATTTGGATATCAACATCACACCAGACGCTGAAACGACCATGTTGTCTCCACATTATGACGTAAAGCGAGGGCGTCACTTTGTGTTGAACAGGGGTGTGGACATGAGATGTGGCAGTGCACAGTACTGGGGTCACGAACACAAGTCGTCCCCGGTGTAAATGACACCTGTGGCGTAAAGATCACGGGTCAATCAAACGCAGCATGACCGGGGGCAATTGTAACACACTCAATTTCTCCAATCAGAAACAAGCTAGAGTGATGACACTTAATCTGCACATGCTCAGTAGGATTCTCTCTCTGCCTGTGGAAAAGGAGCAGGAAGTTTTAAACAAAATACTGATTTTGAGGTATGAAAGTAACTTTTTGGATGTGCAGCATTTTTCTTCTGGTGTCTGAAGTTTAGATGACTGCAAATCTAAACTTGCACACATTTCATCTCTAGGTTATTGATTTACAATTAACACTAACAAACTATGCTTACATAGTTGTGGCTAGCGGGCGTACAAGATTTTATCATAGGCTGCAACAAGCCACACGGCCAAAGTCAGCTTGTCTGTCCGTCCTAAATATGAATGTAAAACCTTATTAAAAAAGGGTGTATTAAAAGAAATGGATTTGTTCTAGTATCACCAATTAACACAGGCCAACATTCTTTGTATAAAATAATGTGTTTAATATGTGTTTAACATAACTTCAGAATGCAGTACTTTTATTGCTACTCTTACTGAAGTAAACCTCAGAATGCAGTACTTTTATTGCTACTCTTACTGTAGTAAACTTCAGAATGCAGTACTTTTATTGCTACTCTTACTGTAGTAAACTTCAGAATGCAGTACTTTTATTGCTACTCTTACTGAAGTAAACTTCAGAATGCAGTACTTTTATTGCTACTCTTACTGAAGTAAACTTCAGAATGCAGTACTTTTATTGCTACTCTTACTGTAGTAAACTTCAGAATGCAGTACTTTTATTGCTACTCTTACTGAAGTAAACTTCAGAATGCAGTACTTTTATTGCTACTCTTACTGAAGTAAACTTCAGAATGCAGTACTTTTATTGCTACTCTTACTGAAGTAAACTTCAGAATGCAGTACTTTTATTGCTACTCTTACTGAAGTAAACTCAGAATGCAGTACTTTTATTGCTACTCTTACTGAAGTAAACTTCAGAATGCAGTACTTTTATTGCTACTCTTACTGAAGTAAACTTCAGAATGCAGTACTTTTATTGCTACTCTTACTGTAGTAAACTTCAGAATGCAGTACTTTTATTGCTACTCTTACTGAAGTAAACTTCAGAATGCAGTACTTTTATTGCTACTCTTACTGAAGTAAACCTCAGAATGCAGTACTTTTATTGCTACTCTTACTGAAGTAAACCTCAGAATGCAGTACTTTTATTGCTACTCTTACTGAAGTAAACTTCAGAATGCAGTACTTTTATTGCTACTCTTACTGAAGTAAACTTCAGAATGCAGTACTTTTATTGCTACTCTTACTGAAGTAAACCTCAGAATGCAGTACTTTTATTGCTACTCTTACTGAAGTAAACTTCAGAATGCAGTACTTTTATTGCTACTCTTACTGAAGTAAACCTCAGAATGCAGTACTTTTATTGCTACTCTTACTGAAGTAAACTTCAGAATGCAGTACTTTTATTGCTACTCTTACTGAAGTAAACCTCAGAATGCAGTACTTTTATTGCTACTCTGACTGAAGTAAACCTCAGAATGCAGTACTTTTATTGCTACTCTTACTGAAGTAAACCTCAGAATGCAGTACTTTTATTGCTACTCTTACTGAAGTAAACTTCAGAATGCAGTACTTTTATTGCTACTCTTACTGAAGTAAACTTCAGAATGCAGTACTTTTATTGCTACTCTTACTGAAGTAAACCTCAGA